CTCTACAATTATATTGTTTGCATAATTTTTTCCATTTTACTTATTGCTTTCATATTTGCGCTTATTATTTGAATTAATTCATTTAGTCTTTACTTGTTTGAATTGAGATTAATTCCTCGAAAACGTTTTAAAAACCAATTCACTCTCCTCTTAATTAGTTATTCTTGGACTATTAAATATCCCAATAAAAAATAGAAATTAAGAAAAATAAGTTATTTTTACTTTAGTTATTGCTTTGGTGTGTTTGTGTGAGTTGAATAATCTTGCCTATTATGATGCATATTATTGGAATCATGTGTTAGGCTATAAATTGTGAAAAAATTGCATGTTGGGTTGATTCATGCTTATTTATGTGAAATTTGATATTTTTGTGTACAAGATTTATATTTTGCATCATGAAGGATTAGTTTGATTCAAAATTTTGAATAGGTTGAAAAATAGTGAACCTTAGATGCTAATTCAAATAACCACTAAAATATACATCATTAAATCAATTCTAAGATAGTTTGGGGGTAATTGAATTGTTATTAAGAGACATTAAGATAAACGTGGATTCTATGTGTATTAAATTTTGTGTAGATTATCTAAAGCCAATAAGATGAAAATTAGGTGAAAATTTGAAGTCAAGGGTCAATTTTTGAGAATAAATGTTTAATAAAAGGTATTGCGCCGATCATGGATAAAAAGGAAAAAATTATGCCATGTTGTAAAACTACCCTATAAAAGATCCCAATGAGAACACTTTTTAAAAATTCGAAAAAAAAAAAAAATTAAAAAGGAATCAAACTAGTGCATGAAACAAAATATGCAAAGAAAACTTGAATAAACATGTGTATGAAACAAAAGACGCACCACATGACTTGATTAAGCACCAAACACTTGTTTGAGAGATTTAGACATTTGACAATGAATTATTTGCTTAGTTGATTCTTGGATGTTGAAGTAATAAAAAATAATGAGAATCCTCATTTGTTGATGTGTTGATCTGTAATTAGTAAAAATCCAACCAAACTAGAGAATATGTGAATTAGGATATGAATTCAACCTTAAATCACACCTTGAAAAAGAATTTAAAGAATAAGTTTGGGATGTTCATCTTACGAGAGAAGAAATGATAAATTTGACCATTGAGTGTTGGGATTCGAATCACTTTATAATTTTATAATACTTTACATGAATCTTCACATATACATGCCGATTTTGCATTTGATAAGTAAAAGTTGATTTCGGCATTGTGATTTTAAAGCTATTAATAACTTTGATATAAAAAATTCAATCATGATACAATTATCTAACCATGTTTATATATATATGAGTTTAACTTAAGTTATATTTTGTTTGAGAACAAACAATTGTTCAAATTTGGGGTTAAATGAGAATAATTATGATGGATTTTGATTAATTATGATTTAATTATGTATATATTTCATTTATTAAGTAAACCTTGACTCAAGTGAAAGAAATTGGACAAAAAGAGTGGAAGGGCAAAAATGGAGGAAATCCTAAATTCGGGGACCAAAGTGCAAATATCCAAGAGTTGGTTTAGACCAAAAATTGTTGATTGAAGATTGCATAAGACTAATTGGATGCAATTAGAAGTCAAATGAGAGAATTAATTTTCAACCGTAAAAGTTATGCTTCGGATTTTCAACCTTAGAATGATACTAATTTTTCGCAAAGCAAACGCTTAGAGTGGAAAAAAATGATATTTTTAGAAGAATTGTATCCCTTTGAGTTAGCTTTTCAATTTATTTTGAATCTCCTTAATCAGATATCGAAATAGAAATTTATGATAAAAATATTAACGTCTGCCAAAAAAGAGACCGAATGAACGACGTGAGCTTGCTAGAAGGTTGTACTACGCGCACTCGAGCCTAATTTTTTTAAACCTGAGGTAGATTGCCTTGACAGATTGCCTAAGGTGAAAAAGGCAGTAGCGCACACTTGCAAAATTTCATCTAACTGGTTCTTTTTATTAAAACTCTTTTGGAATCCAAATTGGACGCGATTTTTACTTCAGTTTCGACTCTTATAAATACAGAACTTGGGCAAAACATTGAGGCTCTCTCTAACCTCTTAATACAAATTCACACCATCAAATTCAGCAAGAATAATAGGTCGATTACATCTTTTGGGAGAGAAGTTTAACCTAGCAAGAAATTGAAGGCTAACTATATCAAGAAATTAGAGATTTCAACCTTGGAATTCTTTCATGATCCGGATGATCTCTATTCATTTTTTTTTTTTGTAATTATATGAAATCACGCTAGGCTAGCCCTTATTTATATTGGATGAAGATATATTCTATTATTTATTTATTTTAATTTAAGACTAGTTGTTTTGTTAATTCTTGGATTTCTTGATTAATTTTGCATTCTCATTGCACTTGGTCATCAATTAGATAATTAGTTGATTATTGTAGTATTGGAAAGTTCACAATAAGTTTAGAACACAACAAGGTTAACACACTGCAATAAAATTTTAAAAATAAAAAATATCGTGTGTGTAATCATATAGACAATCAAGTAATTTATTGCATTATATACATTCAAATTCGGATTATGAATATGATCGAGTTGTGAGTAGAATATATTTAATTTATCTTGAAAATTTAAATACAATAGATTTATCGATTGTCAAGAATGCATGAATGAAAAATTAAAGTACATAATTGAGAATTCAAATAGATAGCAGTAGGTAGATTCGAAATTTCAATACAATCATCCATAATTTGATACAAACCAAGTGTTTACATATTTTCTAGAATAATTTAGAATACATCTCTTTTGTGCTACATTATTCGGTTTCGATACAAAATTAGTACACTTGAATTGAAAGTTATTTCTTGTGGGACGATACACGTTACTCGTCACATTTATTACTTATTAGTGATCCCATATGTTTATGAGTTTCGCTCGATCATGTAACTCACATGTAACACATGCATTCCAAGTGCACACGTACATAACATATGCTTTAAGAAGAGTAGGGGTGGGATCTAGAGACGTGGATCCTATCTAGTTTCGAATGTTAACACTAGTTATATTGTATACAGAAATTCGAGTGATCCCGATAAAACAAGTTATAGAATGAGAGAATAATGGAACAAGAAATATAATTAAGAGAGTCAAAATTCAAACATGCATTTCAATTTTATTTTTTTAGTAAAGCACAATTACAACCTTGTGTGTTTTTTAGGCTTCACCAAAACAAGATCGAGAGGGTTAGGATTCCCCTACTTTTATAGCAACAAGTTCCAACGATATGCCTATATATAGGTTACAGACTGATATAAGATACGTACTTTTAGAGTAAATAGAACTATCGTCTACATATTCTGGCAAAATTAAGTTGTCATTCATCAATATCTATTATTTTACAACATATTTAAAAATGGGAAATGCCGGATGTACCGAGGGGGTGGCTACCGAATGTGCTACCCCTCTCACAAAAATCCGACCCCACATGAATATAATAATGCCGACCTCGTGGTCCCCACTTTCTGATGTGAGTGGAGTGTAAAAGATTAGGTAAAAAATTATGTACACGTAGCACGACCCTTTAAAAATATATGTTCATATTTATATACTCTTCATTCAAATTCAGCCGTCTTATTTACACAAGTCCACTTGTTTGTTAGAATGATTGATTTAGAGTTCTCCTAAAACTCTCGTCAAGTAGCCAATATTAAGCCGAAAGTCAAAATCCACACGTAAAGTAATTCGAAAACGGTGGCCAAACTTGCCTCCACCGCCCATATTTTCTCAACGTAGAAGCAAAGTCCGAATATGCGCACAAATGATCCCTTCAGTGCTATGCAATTGGCCTAACAACTAACTCAGACTTCAACTATTAATTAATTTTCTTTAGGAAAAATAAAGGAGATTGTAGTGAACACAATATGTACCTTATTATTAAAAATCTACTTACTTGAAAAAGATAATACAGCTAATTGTATTTAGAAAAAAGAAATTACTTAAAAAAATAAACTTATTCTGCTAATTTAGTGGAAATATTTTGTTATTGCAGTTATTGGGTAGTGAAAAGGCCAATGCAGTAAAGAATGATCGAAGTTCATAGTGCAGGTTTAATATGTTGTTTAAGAAAGAGACTATAAGTAGTATTCTAAAAAGTGTAAAGTGTGACAAATTTCGACCTAAGCGAGAGTTAAAAAACGTAGAAGCGTAAAAAAAGTGCTCGCTAAATAAAAATAAAAATGAAGAAGCGCAAAAAAAAAAAAAAAATGTGAAACGAGAAGTTTTGCTCCCACTTCGCATCTAGACGCAGCTTTTTAGTATACTGACTTTAAGATAAAAGGTGTGCTATCATTTCATTGGTAATTTCCCTAAATCAAGGTGAGAGTCAAAGATGGATAAGAATGATGGGTTATCGGGTTTGAATTGCTAAAGCTCAATCCTAATAGTTCCAAAGTAAACTCGCCACGATGAATTCGTTGATGTGGAATGAAAAGAAAATAGAGATGTGTATAAATCTGTCCACAAATTTGGAATGTTAGAAATAAAGTCATTTTTTTTTTCAATTGTTAGAAGCAATCTTTACAAGAACAAGGATCGACGAAATAAAAGTCTATTTCGTCCAGCACTCAATTAAATAAAAAAAAAAAAATTCAATCTTGTGAAAAGGCAACGTTGTTGAAATCGACATTCCATCCAACCTATAGGGAAGAAGAAGTGAAAGCTAGTAGCCAAACCTCATCAACTCTAGCAATCGATAAAATAATGTGTGGCTAAATTATGACTTATTTTCAAATGTGTAGAAATTTAATCATAATTTTTACTCGTTTTCTAGCCAAGTATTTATAAACACACAATATAATATTTCTTCAAAGTTCTAATTTCATTAAAGAATAAATTAACGAAACAATCATTGCAATCTTTATTTGATAGATTGCACACAATTAGAAAAAAGAAGGAAAATGTAAAGTAAAATTTCCAAATTAAATTCCTACATTCAGAATTCCATGTCTAATTGATTCCTATTCAAAAGATTTCCAGTTTCGATTGTGAGGAGTGACGCGGCTTTTTCGACGGATGTGGGCTTTGAACTTCGTCTTCGCCGGAGCTGAATCCCGGCCAAAATTCCGGAAAGGCTGGGAGGTTCAAGTCAAAGTTCCGGTGACTGACAGTGGAGCCAACACCCTCCGATGAACTCAGTGCAGTACTGCTGCCAACCGCGCCGCTGTTACTCGCTGCGCCACCTTCGTAGTGGCGTCTTTTATGACCACCTAAGGCCTGGCCAGTGGGGAAACGCCTGTGGCAAATTGAGCACTCGTGGGTCCTCCCGCTCCCACCGCTCGTGGTTGAGACAGTGGTGGAATTTGTTGACTGGTCATCTCCTCCGCTACCTCCGGCGGACTTCCGGTGGCTCGCCTTGTGTCCGCCCAGAGCTTGGTAAGAGCCAAAGGCCTTGTTACAAACTGAACATTTGTACATCAGCTTGGAAGAATCCAACGTCATCATCACTGGCGATGCCGGTGGCGGCGGAAGAGGAGTTTGTGAGTGTTTCTGTTGATTCTCCGCCGTGGAGCCACCGCTGCGAGCCAACATAATAAGGCATAGAGCTAAGTATTCTTCTTCACTAGGTTCATGGCGATCAACACTACGTTGTCGCTTTGATCGCTTACCCTTTGTCCATGGCTCAACAGATCCAATACTGGTGTTCTCAAATGGAAACACCGGCATCCGTGTCGTGGGCGAATTTAATGCTTCAAGGGCCATATCAAGAACTTGCTTCAACTAAAAATCTGAAAATACTGAGAAAGATTTGAAAGAATATGAGAGTGGGAGTGAGGAAGGTGTATGCATATTCATAGGCATATATAGGATTTAAGAGGGGTGGGGGTAGGAAAGGGAAGTTGCTTGACAGGTGATAAGAAAGTAAGATAGTTGCTCAAGTTGCTGAATAACAAAATAAATTATTAATAATAATAGAATATAGATAGAAAAAGAAAGTTTGGTTCAGATTATTCAAGTGGATTAGAAAGACAGATACGTTGTTTGTGTTGATGGAGTGAGTGAAAACTGGGAGACTAGGAAATAGGACTGAGTCAGAAGTCAAGAGTCAAAATTCATACACGGTCTTAGAATATAGCATTTACTTGTAGCAGCCATCATAAATCCTAGGGAAATTGCAGCAGCGGTCCCTAATCTTTTACTTTTTTACATACTTTATCCTAACATTCATTGTGTGCCAACCATAATCCCAAACCTTTCAAATATATGCACTTGGGGTTCAAATAGATGAAGATCGTCCATTTGACAGTTGGTTGACAATAGAAGTCCAAATTTGACCAATTTGGACTAAATTAAAAAAGAGCAAAATGGTACTTTACATTTTCCTTACGTCAAATTTAAAGAAACAAAAGAATTGAGGATAGGCATTGAAATGGTTCTTTGAATGGTTGTGGCAATGGAGACTTCTTTGCCATTTGTGCATCGTATTCGAACTACAACATATTCTAATTGTAAAGTAAATTTTCTAATTTCAATCACAGTTGATAGCAAAGTAACATTACTTACAACTCACAACCCCAATATTCATCCATTTTTCTAGTGTTGACTTTGTTCCTATGCTTGGCCAGTGGCCATATAGAAGGAGGATTGTTGCAATATTTCCTAAATCCTATGTTTTAAGTAGTGGGGAAATTTGCAGCATAGTTTTCGTACTATAAACTTTTTGAGAATAAACGTTATAAAATTGAATTTTGATATTTTATTGAGATAATCACATTGAAGAATACGAGTTTTAAAAAATATGTAACAAATATGGAAAATGCACAAATATTTTATTTTGTGTGGGCCCCTTTCCATGTGAGGAGAGTGTGAAACTTTGTGTAGATCATTATGTACACATATCACTTCCCAACAAATATAGATTATATGTCACACAGGTCAAATTTTGAAGCAAAAGACACCCTAATTTTCGCCCAATAAGAATTAGCTACAAGTACGAAATTTTACTAAGGACTATGTGATGTTTTTAATAGTTGATAAAGTTGGTGAATTCTTGGATAAAAATTGTGGATTCAATGTAACATGTTAAAATGCACCTTGACTAACTTTTTAGTAAACAAAAACTTTACCAAACAAGAAATATCACACGAATGCACAACAAAAGCAAAAGAAAAATAGAAGAAACATAATAGACGACAACAAATCACAAAATAGACACAAACACTTTCAAATATTTTTTGATACTAAAGATAACTATGCAAAAATATTTGTTCATGAAATATAACTTGTGAGTTTGGATAATGAAATATTCAGACCTTTCGACACCCAATCCAACGAACATCCGCCCAATTTCAACACATTACCTTGCTTCCATCTCCTACCGAATGTTCACATTACATGTGCATTCATCCTAGGCATTAACATGGGGGCAAGGCATTGCTCATGCCTTTGCATTTCAACCAACATGGGTAACATTTTACCATTTGAATCATTTAGATCCGTATTCAATTTTTATTTTATTTAAAAATTTAAATCATATTTATAAATTTAAAAATAAATTGTCACAACAAATAGGGATATTTTAATCCTAACTTCACCTCTTGATGTTACACGCACATGATGAGGGGCGTAGGGCTACTCTAGCGTGCCCAATTCTGTTGTCATCCCTAGATTAGTTCATATTTTTTGTTTCTTTTTCCTTCCTTCTTTTCATGTTTTAATTATTCGTATAATTATATTCGCACTACAATTTTTTAAATATACCATATTTTAATTTCAATGAAAGTTCCCACTCATTGCTCATTTTCGTTGTTATGTTCACCAATTTTTTTTTTGCATTATTATTCTCAACATTTATATAATTAGGACATTTGTCTCTGATGATGGTTTATGTCCAAATATTTTGTTAGCGTGCTTTTGAACGAGGATCAAATATTTTGTTGAACTTTTGTATTTTCTTTTATATTTTTTCTTATTTTAATATATGAAGAGCAAATAAATCTTTTTACACACTCTTAATAAAGTTTTTGGATAAAAAACTGTACAAGATGGGCTTATAAATAAAAAAGTGGACAAGAATGCGATGAATAAGAAAATGTTGGAGACTTCGTAACAGATAAAATAACGTACAATTAACAAAAAACAGTGATGTAAGTATAATTATCGTAGCTAGTTTGGTTGTTATAAACTTAAATAGACAAAAATACTCTACAAAAATGGGTCACGTGAAAATCAAATTATTGGATGATTTCCATAGATTTGAATCGACTCGCACTAAAATTAATAGTTAGGGGAATCGAGCATCAAAAAATTAATTGCAAGATGATCTCAATGCTTTCATTGACAACATTTGAAATAAATTATATGTTACGATTAAAATAGCATAAAATTATTTATCTACTTTTAAGCTAATATTTTTAAGCTCGGTCAAACGTGCTCTTAGACTGAAATTGCGGTGAAATAAATATTGTAGCAAAATAGCAGCAGCCAAATAAGAACGAATTCGCCCATGTTGGGCCGAGTCGGATGGCTACCGGTTTTGTTTAGGTACATGTATTCAGGCATTGGCTGCTTTGTTTAGTCAAAATTGTACTTTTTTTATAATTAAATTGAACGTGAAGTTCTATTAATTAGAATAATAAAAGATTATGTCCCTATTTGGTGGAAATTATAACCAAAATTTTAATTTAAGTTAAAGTTATCAATTAATTTAAATCACAAATTTCACGGTGTCCACAATTTTTCAACCATACATTTCATTATTTTTTTTTATCAAAATCTACTAAAAATTTGATTTTAATTTCCATGAAGCAGAGCTATAATCCACGTGGGTTGCTCAATTTATTCTTAGTAGCGTTAAATAGATTATACCAATTGTGGGACCCCGAAAACTTTATGAACTGGTTAATAGAAAATGTTTAGTAGCAAGAATTAAATTAATACAAACCATTACAAAATTAAATTTAAAGTAGACAACATTTTGTGAGAACTCAATTGATTTCGTTACTATACGAGATAGGTGACATCCTAACGAAATATATAAATAAATTTTGCCATTAACCGTTAATCTATTGCAATTTTCATAAGTCGATTGATGGCATGTAAAACAAATTAAAAAGTGCTAGCGCAATGACTCAGCCTCTCAAAGCCAGGACAGCATGGGTCTTAACCACTTCTGACTCATTTTTTCCCGGCTAGTTGGCCTGCAAGCGGCTCCAAAGGTTGGCCGATTCAGCCCTAATCATGGATCCGTTTACACTGCCACCCAAGGTCTTTAATGAGCATAATACTCATATAGGTGTTGCATTTTTTGATGATATGCCAGTTTAGTGGAAGTTTACATTTGGATGTTGTCTGTTTTAGACACATATTTTGCTCATGTATATTCAGTTAATTTCAGAAATAAAGTATTCAATTCAGTTCCACTCTGATTAAAGTTTATGGTTGATCTCACTTAAAAAATAAAGATGGATCAATTGGAAATAGACATGTTTGAATCACATAATATTTAATTTCAGAGTTGGTTGGCTTTACACCACTAGATGACACTTTACTCTATTGATAAATTTGAGCAGACAAGAAATGGTAAGTTGATACATTATGATGTAGGGTATAATTGTTTAATATATTTCGTGCTTGACGAAAAAAAAAATTTAATTGGAGAATACTTTATGAAATTTTAGGTAAGTGAAAAGAATGAGTTAAAAAGAAGGAAAATTTACTATTTATACGTACTATGTTTACTAATGAAGTAATGATAACAAAAACTGGATAAAGATTAAAGAAACTCTCTCCAGTAATTTATCATTCTTAAATTTTATATAAATTATGTACCACTTTTATCATGTACTAATTTTTATTTTTTTACAATCTTTAAGTATTAATTTCTTGAAAGAATATTTTTTTTATTAAGAATACATTTAGTAGATTTTTATAAAAATTAATGAAAATTAGTATGGATGAAAAGTTGACAATATGAATTTCATGTGATTAAAATCAGCGGTTGACTTTAACTCAATTTTTATTATCCTTCTTAGTTGAACCAAATAAGTGGTAAGACAAAGTATACTAACCAAAGTGTGTATGACTTGGTCAAGAGATTTAACTGGCAAAGTAAATGAATAGAAAAAGATTGCAAGTTTATATAAAGGATGGGTTTAATTGTTTATTTGAGGGCATCTAAATATTATAACACGTGTATTTGACCTGCACCTTAGTCGTCTTTGGTATAACACCTTACTCAATTTTCAAATTTAATATATTGTGTTGTTTTGACCACGTGCATATTTTCAATTTTCTAGAATATTGACCACAAACATTTAGATCATGATATAACATGATTAAATTACAATATATCATCTTTAATCTTTGCTATTATTATTTTTTTTTTCAATTTTTTAAAATTGGCGACAGTCATTCTAAATGATAGTTTCCATCTAAATTCTTGTAATTAATTTTACTAAAGGTTAGAATTAGAAGTGAAAGAGGCACAAAAGATTGTAACGACCGCTTTTAGTCGATATAAAATGGACAAAAGGCAGTCAAGTGCATAAACCCTAACTATATATACAAGGAAGATTTGACAAGAAAAATTAGACATGTGGTGAATTGTTACCCCCAACTACGAATAGTTTATGAGATTTTACTACTTGTACGTAAAAAATGTATATAATGGATTACATAATATTACGTGGAGAGAAGATTTGACGAAAAAGTTGATTGTATTTTAAACTGACAAATGATAGAGTGCTAAGTGACATTGTGTT